CACTAAACACTAAACCCTAATATAAATAGACTAACACTAATGTATATATATATGTAATAAAAGAGTGGGCTTATGTATTAGGCCTATGTAAACTAATGTAAATGGAAAAACACTAATGCAAATGGATTTATTTTTGGGTTTTATTATTACTCAAGCATGAAAGATGCACTTAAGTGGGAAAAAAGCAAAATTATTTGGGAAAAAAGTAAAACCATTCAAAACGCTCCAATTTTTGTTCATTTTGGCGTGGGAATTTCAAATTTCCCAAACTAAATTCGAACCACGAGGGAAACTCGATCAAAAAATAAATCCAAACTCCCAAATTTAAATCCACTTGTAGTAATAAAGTAATAAAGGCTTAGGTTTAAATCATAAACCCTAAAACCGATCAAAAAACTAATTATTTAACACTTAATTAATCATGTTTTATATAATTTACATTTAAATAATTTTATATAATATGTATGTATAAACCATGTATAGCATATATAAACTATATATATATAACCTATATATACGTAAACTATATAAAGTAAATTACTTATATAGTTTATAGAAACACTATGCATAAACTATATAAAGTAATAAAGTATATAAATTATAGAAACCCTAAATCATAAACCCTAATCATAAACTTTAAACCATAAACACTAAACGTTAAACCATAAACCCTAAACCTTAAATTCTAAACCCTAAACTGTAAACCATAGACTAGCACTAATGCATATATATTTGTAATAAAAGAGTAGGCTTATGTATTGGGCTTATGTAAACTAATGTATTGCCAAAATTATTTATATTAATAATGTAAAACGTTAATATATATTACATAATAAATTCTTTCATTATTAATATTATTTTTTCTTTATATAAATTAAACTATATAATTTATATAAATTAAACTATATTAATTTTCTTTTGCATTATTAATCATGTTTTATCTATTATACATTTAAATAATTTAATTAATTTAATTAAATAATTTTATATAATAGGTCTATTTATTAATTTAATTATCATAATTAATATTTTATTATAACATTTAAAAAGTAATTATATTAATTTTTAATTACATCATAAACTAAAAAATTCATAATTTTATTAAATTTCGTCCATGGTAATATATAAGTCAGGTAACTATCAGATCAGGTTGAAAACAAGTCGGATAATACCAGTTATTTATCAGGTCAATCTCGATTTCGGGTTCATATCAGTCGGATACAGGTCGGGTTCGGATCCACAATTTCCAGGTCCAACTCGGATTCAGGTAAACACCAGTTTCGACTCGAGTCGGTTTCGGATCGCTATAGCGCAGGTTAAAAACAGTTTTGAGTCAGTTTTGCAGGTCAGGTCAGCTTTTTACACCCTTAATTACCTGGCTCATCTTAGGACAAAACCGAGCTGACCGTGTGATGCAAAGCATTGCAGCTCGAACCATCCGTCGCAGTTGAGTCTCATTGATATTGCCAATCAAATTAGGATCCAATATGCCTTCAACATCTCCACTCTCAATTAATGGAATTGCCTGCAATTTTTTCAATTACTTGATATCATATTTGATCATAGATGTAGATGAGGACTGAACACTTTGTTTTAGAGAAGACTCTTACTCACATGGCCAAGCTTTGCTGGCCTTTCAGATTATCAAAGTTTATCGGTCTTGTCACTAACTTTACCGTACATGAAATATTCAGGAGCTAAATATCCAAATGTTCCGACGACATCAGCTTGAAATAGAAATGATGAATCAATTGGTCCCCATATTGCTAAACCAAGGTCTGATAACTGTCACACCAGGAAAAATGAACAATGACCATGTGAACGATTCGTGACATATTTCATTTTTGAATAACATATCATTTAAATTACCTTCGGTCCAAATCCATCTCAAAGAAGAATATTTGAAGACTTGACATCTCTATGGATAACAGGTAGAGAAAGCTCATTATGCACATAATTTAGGCTTTCTGCGATCCCGACAGCAACTTTATATCGGAGTTCCCACAAAAGTCATGTTTAGCTTTGTTGTTCCCTACGCTGTAGTGTTTTAGGACAACTTTTATCAAGCAAAGGGAAAAAAAAGACAGATCTCATTGAAGCTGTAGTGTTGTATCGTGCAGAATTTCTTCTAAGTTTCCCTTGGATGAGAAATCATAGACAGACATTAGATCATGGTCTGTAATGAAGACACCGATGAGCTGCATGATGTGTTTATGCTTTAGTGAGGAGATTATTTTGATCTCTTTTGCGGGATCCTTGCACGCCACTTTCGATGACATCAGAATCTTGACAACTATTGCTTTACCATCAGGAAGGATCCCTTTAAAAACTTGGTTGCTCCATCCTTTTCCGATCAAGTTCTCTGCTACGAAACAGAATCTTAGAAAACAAGTAACAAAAAACACGTCATTGCTTGCAAGGCAAGTATGGGATAAAAACCCGTGAATTTATCATTTGCATCTTTTAGAATTCCATAACTAAACCATCGACAATCCGATGAATTCGTTTTCAGGAGTATATCCAAGCATTTCTGCAACTCATATAGCATAGATGAATAGGTCACATTCCCATCATTATCCTCTTCTATTTCACTCAGTTCTATTTCCTTGCTTGTTGAACATATCATGCGAGGAACGACTTGGCAAGTTCATCACCATTTAACAACCGACATGCTGCTCGCATGCTTTGCATGCCGTGTTTCCGAACTGGCCCTCAGGAGGAGGGGCCGACTGGGCTTATAGTTCAATCTTTGGATAACACTTCACAATTCGATCTTCAGAGCTTCACTACTGGTTCTTGATCCATCGTTGGAGCTTTGAATCCCTTCGAAACATGAAATCTCAGACCCTACTTCAGAATCACCATAGTCTGATTGACATTCTCTAACACCAATGTTTTTAGATAGACAAAGACTCGGTCTCGGATCACCTTTAACACCTGACATTCTTGATCCTAAGACAGGTAAAACCAGACCTGGTAGTTCAGTATTGTTGTTGGACCTTTCCAAAAGTTTTCCATTGTCATGGCCAGAACATCGGTAGTCGTCGGCAACCGCTTCGCACAATATCGAGCTGTGGAAGTCCGACCCCCGAAAACAATCTGTCCTTTCTTTCTTTCTTTTTTAACTAAAGAGACTAAGAAACACGCCAATTTAAACTACAAAAAAGATGGTCTATTTTAACTGCTACTTACCCAAGAGCACCAATCTTGTCTAACCCACAACTAAAGCAACAGCAGCATAGTTCGACGCTTCTCGAATCAGAACTTTTCGGATCGGAATTCCTTTATAAATCTGGCCTTTAAGATCAACCTGAAATCCGAATATGAGAATTCAGGTATGTTTTTTCCATTCTTTTCACTGAAAATTCATTAAAATGTCTGAGTTCTCGGTAATGAAAGCAACCTTCTTTATAGAACACAGGCCTTCATATACCTCTAAATAACGCTCTAAGCCTCTAACAACTTCTGCCCCAAAGCATGATCTACGTTGAAACTTCAAATTAGAACACAGATTGTACAAACATCAAAATTCATCGTAAAAAGTCAGAGATTTAAATAGATGTGAATAACTGTTGTTATATAACAGTGACAGCATCGTCGGTTATTGCATGACCGCGATACAAACAATGGCCCTGCAATTGTAATAAACACAACATAATAAAAAAAATGCAGCCCTTGCTGCAATTTAAGCTTAGTTACTACCTCAAACCACCATCGCCATGTTCATTCAATCTTTAGAAAATAATAATCTAAAAATACCCCAACAACACTGCGCACTTAACAAGTTAACCCTTTGAGATTATAAATTATAACCCATTATCATATTTGCATTAGAAACCGCAGGCTCAAAGAAAAAAGTGGAAACCCAGATCGAAGCTAAATTGCTTAATAGACTGAACAAATCTACAAGACAATTGAATTCAGTACCTATACGTATTTTTATCCAATTTTTTCTAAAATTATATTGCCGCCAAAGAACAATCAATTATAGAACAATCTGAATACTATTTCGTATATAAATGTAGATCAATTATAGAACAATCAAAACAGAGGGAAAACAGAGGGAACCGGCAAATTTCGCGCGAAACCCACGGTCGCAGGTCGTTGGGGAGAAATGAAATGACAGACACCGGCTATTGCGGGTTGACGAGCACTGCCCCATTGTCTTTGGATTCGTGTTTTTCCGTGGTAATTTGATTTATATTTTTTAGGTAAAAAATCATCAAAGGTCCCTGTACTTTTAAAAAAACATTAATGTGGCCCTCGTATTAGTTTTGTCTCAATATGACCTTTGACCAACATTTTTCATCATTGATCGTTAGGGTGCTGACGTGACAGTTCATGATGCTGACGTGGTGGTTCACACTGTTGATATGACAATCCACGATGGTTGATAACATGACAAATAACATGAAAGATGGGCTAAATTAGTAACTCAAACATGATAGATGAGCTATCATGTCAGTATCGTAACAATCAAACGATGAAAAACGTTGGACAAAGCGATGCCACGTTGGGTTTGCTTTTTGAGTTGAAGGGTTACATTAAGAGAGAAATAATACGATGACCACAATGGTTTCTTTTTAAAAGCACATGGACCTCTGATGTCTTTTTACCTATTTTTTATTATGAAAAAAAATCAAGTTACAACTTTTGCACGAAACTAATTTGATAATAATTAAAATTTTAGAACAAGAAATAAATACAGAAACTGTAAATTTTAGAATGATTTCTTCAATTAATATGTGTTTATTTTCTAATTGAAATATGGTTGTGTTTCTTAAATTAAAATTATAAAATCAATTTCAAACATTTATTTTTTTAAAAAATTCTCCAGATTTTGGCAAATCTCGAGGATTTGCTGTAGATTATCGATCAACTTATAAGATATTGTTAACAAAAGATAAATTATAGTAATTTAATTTGTAAATAATTTTTAAATACATACTATTTTTATAATTTTAAATTAAATTTTTAGAATATTAAATCTGAACATAATATAAAAGAACAAATTTTATTACAGGGACAATTCATCTAATTCAGTTTATTACATTCACAATGACATAATTCATCTCTCGATAAGCATAGAACAACTCCTAAATGAATAATATAAAAGGCTCAGAAATGACTTGCGTTTTATTCTAACCAAAGTTGCTAATGTTATATTATCAGAACTTGGTTTCGTTAATGGCACCTACTTCTTCACCCCATAGCATATTTTTGGGTCCAGCTCCGCGCTGTAGATTCATACTTGAACTTGTCGGTTTTGAACATCCGAGCAATCTCCGGTACCAGCGGATCATCCGGGTTTGGGTCCGTTAGCAGTGAACATATAGACAGTAAAACCTTAGATATGGTGAGCGCAGGACTCCATTGTTCTTTGAGTATGTCTAAGCAGATATTGCCATTGTTGTTTATGTTCGGGTGGAAAACCTTGGTCCTGAAGGCAACCTGAATAATAGACACGGATTTGATCATCGAAAGTCAATAACTCTGATTCTTCCGATTCGAATATGTGTGGAGTATTAGAAATCGATGGTACCTTGGGAGGTTTAAAAGGATAATCAGGAGGGAAATGGATGGTCACAAGGAAAACACCACCAGCATACGGACTATCATTTGGACCCATGATGGTTGCTTGCCAATGGAACATATTCTCACCCACAGGACCTGCATACAACTAGAAATTTATCATGCAAACAAAGAATGGAAAATTTGCAGATATCGGATTTCGGTTTTATAACTCTAACCTGCGCTGCACGAAGCCGGCGGATCCCTCTGCAAGTCCTTCAGCTCCTTCAGTATCCTTTTCGAGGCCATTAAGAAACGAGAACTCCAGACAGGGAGAACAAAAACTGTATTGGAGGACAATTGCTTCTTTGGAGAACTTCAGAAGAGGGAAGATAGCTTATTTAATGGAGGAATTGCAAAGTGCTGGGAAAGAGAAATGTGAAAATAGGTCCACCAATTCTTCCCATATTGATCAAAGTGGGCACAGTATATATCCCATTGAAAAAAAAAAAAGCTGGTATTCTATGGGCGTGGGAGTTGATATTGACCATCCGATGCTTACGTCCACAAACAATGAACGGATAAGATATTGTTGGCGTCTCGTGTATATTTATAATTGACGTTTTTCAACATAAAGATTCCATGTCTAATTCATCCTTCTCACTCCATCTGTAAAGAGAGCCATTTGGCTCCATAATCTTTTAAACTTTCTCAGAAACTGACTAATCATCACTTCAATTCATGTATCTATGCTTGTTAATTTGACATTTTTCCAGCGTAAAGACGCATCTCAACGAGTTCGATACTATACTTTTAGCATGATTGTATGAAATTCGTGAACCAACTAGACTAAACCGAGGTTCGTGAACCGGAAGGAGGATGAAAGTAGCAAGATTGAAGTAATAAGGTAAGCAAAAGCAAACCACATAATATTAACAGCTCCTTATTAGTAGTAAAGATCAGATTACATCAAAAAGATGCCAGAGGAAACAATCTGGTGGTTCTTACATATAGTTCATCTCCATGTTTCAGTTAATAGATCAAGCATATGTAAAACCCAAATTCAAGACATTAAGGGACATTAACATACAAATTCAAAAGACAATCCCAGGAGAAAATGAAAAAGAAAGGGTACATATTTAGATGATTATAGAGCGTTCCCAGGTTCTGTTAGTTCAGATACATACCACAAAGGAGGCTATTTTCTCAAGGTGAGAAAGATAATCGACATGGTGAGAGACTAACAGATTTTTATGTGCCAAAATGGGTCACGGTATCCATCCGTGCATCCATAACTGTTTTTCATGGTGTGAATCACAATATCGAACAGGCCTTTTGTGACTTTCTCTTCTTTTTCTTCTTCTGCTTCGGTGGCTGGAGAACCACTTTGATGGCTGCATCGAAGACTGCTTTCACGTTCTGTTTTTTTTAAGAAGCCATTAACAGAAATCACTCCCATGACTCGAAAACAAATAAATTTTCCAGATTGAAATGAACAATATTTATGTACCTGCTGCGTCTTTGAACTACACTCGATGTAAATAGGCACTCCAATTAGCTTTCTCAACTCCTCTCCCTTCCAAAAGGTAAAGAAAATAGTCAAAATTAGGATTTGGCATTATCAAGTATCAACCAAAATAGCATTCATGAACAAATAGCTGCACAATGACAATGTGTACCTGGGCTGTGGTGATGGGCACTGCACCAGGGTGATCTATGAAGAACTGCTTATCTTCCCGAAGGTCTGCATAAAGAAATGTAACAGCTGTTAATAGACTGACAAATTTTAAGGCAAATTTAGCAGTTGTTGATGCCATATCTGCATAAAGAATTGAGTTACAGGTCGAAAAATGGATTGCTTCCTTGACCCCTAAAAACATAAACTTCCACTAGCAGTTGCTTCATTCCTTTGTTATTCATCTGCCATGGGATTTGTGTTTTATTCCTTCCAAAATTTAGAATTATTCTTTCCTCCATGATTAATGATTCAAGCCACAGTTTAACTAGCTCAAGATGGTGAGATAGACTATACAAAAGTAAAAGCGGGTGTACAATTTTAGTGCAAAAAAATAGACTAGGCCCCAGTTTAGAAATTTTGGGCTTATTTTATTTCCCATTTACTTCAAATGTCTTCCTCTAAGGTGAGGAATATTATATTCAGTTCATATTCTACTTTTCTTATAGGTTTGGTTAACATCAACTTTCGTATAATTCCCAAAGAGTGGCTTAAAACCAGTAAATAGTGGTCCCAAACAGATTTTTCAGCCATGAAACTTTAGTTTATTTCTTGCTTGGTCCCTGAGTTGGTAAGGGGTGGGGCTTGGGAGGACATAAAAGCATCTAGATTATTCCACAAGCTTCTAATGTATCGAAAAATATTACATTTGATGATTCACTAGGAGAAACTATCTAGTTCTGCAAGACTAAGCTAGTACATATCCCAAAACTTGTCCTATTAAAAGCAACTACGGAACTTTATCCTTACTTCAAACCATGTTAACAACCGCTGTGGAAGACGAGACTAACATAAACTATTTAGAAAGAAAAAAAAAAGACAGGAGGAATGTTTGGGCAAGGAAAGAAGTAACTGAACCGTAAAAGATCTAATTGTTTGTATTTTTAACAAGAAAACTGAAAGAACACGGCCATAGTTATAAAAGTTAGGGTAGATTTATCAATAAAAATCTTGCAAACAAAACACTATTATATTGAAAAGAAGTGCTAGAATGCACACATTTTACGAGGCAGTGGTAAATATACAGGAGGGGTCATCTAAGGCACTACACTAATTCAACCTTACCTGTAACATATTACACGAAAAGAAAATAAGTATTGCATTAAGAATTTAAGAGCTGATTGAAAGGAACAGATCAAGCGGTCTGAAAGTATCGAAAATAAAAAATTGGAGTAGAATCTAACCAAGCTTAGTCCCAACAAGAATAATTGGAACACCAGGTGCATAATGCCTCAACTCCGGGATCCACTGAGAGTTCGAAAAGAAGATAATGCATTAGCAGGTCAAGCAATTGGAAGTATCGTATTCAGAAACCAGTGAAAAGCCTCTAATAAACAATATTCTTACTTTCTTAGCAACATTTTCATAGCTGGCTTTGCTAATGAGAGAGAATGCCAACAAGAAGACATCAGCTCCACGGTAGCTCAAAGGTCTTAATCTATTGTAATCTTCCTGGCCTGTTACATGACCAAAAAAATAAACGATATAATCGGACCTACCACAATAAGCATTCTAAGATATAAATAAGGAGAATTTATGGAATTGAAACTTACCAGCAGTATCCCACAATCCCAGATTAACAGTGTTCCCATCCACAACCACGTTTGCACTAAAGTTGTCGAAGACAGTCGGCACATAATCCTGTTTCACAAAGCATGAAAATGTTATCATCATCTCCAAAAGTAATCTTTTTTTCCTAGATTATAAATCATCAAAACACAAATAGGCAAAATAATAGGGTAAACTGCAGAAGGCAATAAAATTTCAGCAAATTTCTGAAACAACAAACCCTAAGAAATTCTTCACTTGAAAACAATTTATGAAGAATGATTCAATTATTCAGTAAGATATTCTGTATCGAATTTAAGATTCCAAAGATAAGTATAATCAAATGCTAAAAAATAAACAAATACCCAATAAAGAAAGCAACTTTCTCAAAAGTCACATTGATCACAAGAAACCAGTGTAGTCTATGCCTGGTGGCCACGAAAATCGGGGAAACAAAAAGTGGGGAAACCTCCATGAAAATCAAAGTAAAGGGTCTTCGACTTTCTTTCGATTCCCCATATTATCTCAGGGATCAAACAAAAAAGGGAAAGTTTTTATTTTTGTTAACTTACAGTTGGGAAGGTATTGCTGGTGTAGGAGATGAGCATGCAAGTCTTGCCGACAGCACCGTCACCAACGGTGACGCATTTGATGAACCTCGAAGCACTCATCTTGCGCCACGAGAAACCGGAAAAAGTGATGTGATTTCAGAGCTGTTCCTCCCCCTCCGCCCCTCGGCTATCTTTTCCTTTAATTATTGTCCAAAACAGTAGAAAAAATCAAAGCGAAATCTAGTTATTGTTGTTGAGGAACAACATTTTTTCCTTGTGGGATTTTGAGAGAAATAAACGAAGAAGAAGAAGAAGATGGAGTTCTAAGTAAAACTGGAAGACATGAAAGACATATTCCGAAAGAAAGAGAGAGAATAATTAGGGGTAAGGAGAGGAGAGACAGCTCTTTGACAGCTATCTGCTTACATTTACAACTTGAATAAATTATTATTATTTACATACCAGATCCTCCGCCCACTTCCATTTACATTTCAATCCCGATAAAATTAAAATCAATTAAATTATATCCTGATTTTATTCTAAATAAATTTACAAACAAATACAACAATAACAACAAAACCCTATTTTCATATGCAATGGGGGTAAGGGGAGGTAAGGTAGTAAGTAGGCAGCCCCCAACGCCAAGATTGAGAGCAACTCTGTGGAAGACCTCCGGCAGTCAAAAAATTAAAAATAAAGATAAAATGCAATGCATGTATAAATACATAGTTAAACAATCTTCATATGCGCCTCTGTAATGGGAAGTAATCCCTGAAAATAAATCTATGCATATAGACAAAATCGTAAGACCTGGCTAAATTTAAAAAAAGAAAACCTGAAGAGAGATACATAGAAGTCAACGATAACAAGCTACGAGAAGGAATAAAGTCAAATGGGTTAAAACCTAAACTAAGGCAACAGTACTCCGCTACCCTAGTTCTAAGCCTACATAAATTCTAATGACAGAAACGTATATACAGTAGAAGTCATGGAAATTATTACAAAGGCATTAAAAAGAAGACAGAGATGTTAGACCCTATGCCTGTGACTTGCACTACTCGGCTACCCTGGTTTTAAGTATCTATATTTTCCTATCAGAGGTCATGTCCTCGGTAAGGGATAAATCCTTCAAATCAAATCTCAAGCAGTCTTCCCACTTCCGCCTTAGTCGTCCTCTCCTTTTGGCACCGTCGACTGTAATCGACTTTACCCTCCTGACCACATCCGACGGTTGTCGCCTAAGGACATGCCCAAACCACCGTAGTATTCCCTCCCTCAATTTTTCGGATACATGCACCACCCCCAAGGACATCCTAATAACAGAGTTTGGTGTCACGTCCCACAGAGTCCTACCACATGCCCATCGAAGCATTCTCATTTCTACGGCCTCAATCCTCCTTTTGTGATCCTTATTGATTGCCCAACATTCTGATCCATACAGCAGCGCTGGTCTTATTGCCATTCTATAAAATTTTCCCTTAAGTTTTAGAGGCACCTTCTTGTCACACAAAACTCTAGTAGCAGCCCTCCACGTTTGCCATCCTGCCTTTATACGATGTGTAACATCATCATATACACCCCCATCTTTATGTATCATAGACCCTAGGTACTTGAAACATTCCTTTGAGGGGATAACGTTTCATTCTATGCATACGTCTACATCCTCATCGTTTTGGTTCCCACTGAAGTTTGAACATAAATACTATGTCTTTTCAATATTAATCTTTAGACCTTTTTCTTCCAAAGCAGTCTTCGAGGCAGTCAGTCTACTATTCAGCTCAGTTTTTGTTTCAGCAACTAGGACAATGTCGTCAGCGAAAAGCATACACCATGGAACACCATCTGGTGTCGCACAATAGATGTCGTTCATAATTAAGGTGAAGATGTAAGGGCTAAGTGTCGACCCCTGGTGGAGTCCGATTTCCACCGGGAATGTCTCGGTGTCGCCAACTGTAGTCCTGACGTAAGTAGTAGATCTACAGTACATATCACAAATCGCCCGGATATATGTTGTTGGGATCCGTCTCGTTTCCAAGGTCTTCCAGATCGTATCGCTGGGAACACTATCATACGCCTTCTCAAGGTCAATGAACGCCATGTTAATATCTCTATTTTTCCCCTATATTTCTCCATAAGCCGTCGAAGTAGATGAATCGCCTCTGTAGTAGACCTGCCTGGCATAAAGCCAAATTGGTTTTTCGAAACCCTAGTAACCTGTCTCAACCTAGTCTCTATCACTCTTTCCCATAGCTTCATGGTATGGCTGAGTAGTTTAATACCTCTGTAGTTGCCACAGCGCTGGGGATCTCCTTTATTCTTATAGATTGGTATCACCGTAGACTCTCTTCACTCCTCTGACATCTTGACAGTCTCTAAAATAATATTAAATGAGGTGTGTAATTAATATTATATATTTTCCAACTTGATATTATGTTTGGAGAACATGGAGCCGTGACATGAATAAACATAATTAATTAATTTGTGTTTAAGCATATACTATAACATTATTTAATCTCAATTTGTCAACAAAAACTTAATAAATAATTAATTACTATTATATATTTTGCAAAGCAATACTATGTTTGGAGAACATGAGCCGTGACATGGGTAGAGATAATTGATTAATCTCATCTAGAGCACCAACAAAATATAATCATCACGTAATTTTAAAATCTTCTTTGCCCAACTATCACTACATCTCAAAAAGCATAATCTTTACATTTTGATTTTGTATAATTCGATATTTTTAAGAATTGAATTTTTTTATTTAATTTTAACTTAAAAATTATAATTATCTGAGCCGAATAGAATTTTATTTTTTCATTTAATTTTTATTTTTTTATAAAATAAGATAATTATATATCCTTGAACAGTGAAAATGATTTAAAATTTGCTCTAAAAATTTCAAGAAATCTAATCCATCGAATTGATCTCATCCCTAACTTGCGTAAATTTTACTATGTTGAAACGGTGTTTTTAAGAAATTCTACGTCAATAATTTTTATTAATTTGGAGTAAGTCAAAGATAATATTTGTTTAAAGATAACTTTTAGTTATTTAACATTGAACCCGTATATTTTAACATTCATAGTGCTCGAATCTAATACCTTAAGGAATAATAATAATTCTTTTGACATTGAGGTTGTTTGATTACCGCCTACATCAACATTTTAATCAGAATCTTTAATGACATTAATATTTGTACCAACTAATGAAATTTTAATAGTAGATGATCAAATTATATGAAATCAAGGTGTAGGGCTTAAATCTCGAATCTGAACATAATTGAAGTGTCAAAACCATAATTTAGCCCTTGATATTTTAACATGGGTCGGTCAAATACAAAAAACTCCATTGCTTGGGCCATTAGCAAGTTGTGTAAATTATTTCCTTGAAGTAACTTTGGATTTTCACTCTCACAGGCCAAAACACAAACAGGTGGGCGACAGCTTCACTTGTTCACGAATCAGAGCTCCTAAAAGTAAATCAAAAACCTCGGGAGTCAGAGATTTGAAAGATGGAATCTTGGGTTTCAAGTGAAAAAAAAAATCAACAACAATTCTTCCGACGCACCAAAAAATGGGGTAATCCCAAATTTTGATCCAAAAAGAAAAGAAAAAAGTGATGCGACTCTGTCTTTGTCTGCGGGTAAAAGATTACGTTTCTTCGATTTCTCTTGACGCAATGGCCGTCGCGATCTGATGGAGAACCCACAAGTAAGGTTGATTCGTTAATGGTGGTTGTTAAGTTGATTAAAAGGGGCACCTAATCAACTGCAACATTGAAGCATCAACTACGACATCTCAACAAAGTTATGGCTGCATCATCATCGTTCATTATCGTTACTGTTTATTTAGTGGTTTTGGCCAATGGTTTGAGAAGGTGACACGCTTGTTAGTTGCTTCAAAGGCCAGGATATGACCCCAAGTTACAAATAGGTTTCTATTTAACTTTATTCTTTAAAAATTTGAATTTGAATTGAGTCAACTTTGAGTATAAGGTAAAAAAAAAACTCGATTCAATCTAGCTTAAGATGATATTATAATTATTTATTATATATTATATAATTACAATAATGTTTTTCTATATTATTATTTTAATTAAATCTTATTTTATCTAATAAAAATGATGACTCGATCAAGATATTTTCAGAGTTAAGGACTGATGGATGTATAATGCAATTAATCCTAGAAAAAGAAAATCAAATTTGGATAATAAAAATCCAAAACCCAAGCAAACACACCTCATCATAAATGTGCTACCAAACACTCTCGGGCCTCTCCCCTCTACAGGTCACCTAATCAACTGGTTTAAGAAGTGGGTAAAATTCATCACCAAACACTTTGTCTTAGCTTCAATATTGTATTAGAATTGGCCTAGTAAGACATTAATTTAGGTGACAAATTAACCTAGCTACATGGGTCTTGCTGCCACACATGTCTTTTATAGATACCTCCTACCCTCTACAGTACCCAATGAGGCAACCTTAGGCCTTATTGTAAATCAGTATATAATTAGATGATAATTAATCATTAAGTTAAATCATGATTATATGCAAGAATCATTTTCTTTTTTAAAAGATACGATAAATTACCTATTTGATTACCTACCTATTACGTAATTTTTGTTTGTCACTCAACTATTTTTTAAAAATTATATTTAATATTACGTTCTATTTTTATGTTGGCCATTCACATTTAAAAAATATTAATGCTAACATATCATTTTCAATTATTTTCAATACTAACATGGTATTACCTTATAGTACTACATTAATAGCATTATTAATTTTTGAACGAGTAACCAAAATAGAAACAAAACATTACATTAAGTATGATTTTAAAAACACAATAATTAAGTGACCAAAACATAAATTAAGTAATAGATAGATGACCAAATAGGTAGTGTACCCAAAAAATATGTTTCTAGGATGTTTAAATCAAGGGAGTTGTAGTAGGGATACTTAGTGGACAAAGTGCAATTGTGTGTTTTTTTTATGATTCCAAATCATATAAGTATAGAATTAGGCCAACTAACAGTACAATTATATATATATATATATATATATATATATATATATATATATATAGAGAGAGAGAGAGAGAGAGAGAGAGAGAGAGAGAGAGAGAGAGAGAGAGAGAGAGAGAGGATTAAAATTCTCAAAGCACATGGGCCATTCACCACCAACTCCATGTGCATGGATAACCAACTGCCATCCTACTATTGTGCCTGGCACTGTCCTGAGATGCCGTGCCAAAGGTATTCAATATTCGGTTAAAACTGAATTAACCTATCGAATTAAAATTTTTGTCTATTAATTTTGGATTCGATCGGTTAATGATTAATGATTTTTTTCTTCTTTAAATTTTGGCTTTAGTTAATTCAGTTCGAAATCGG